GTCCCCTGGCGACAGCAGGACCCCGGCCAGACGCCCCACTGGAGCCAGCTTTCATACTGCTCCTGTCCGTCAGCCCCTGAGTCGTGGAAGCCCAGCCTCCCCTTTCCAATCTAGGCCCTGCTGCTTAGTGGGGAAAAAGCCTCCCAGAGAAGATTTCCAGCTTCGGAAGAGAATCCGGAGCGGAAACTCTTGGGCATGGTTAAGATGGAACGGGCACCGTCACACGTGTGCAGCTCACATGAGGGCAAGTACAGATTCAGATATGGGGAGGCTGGCTGGATCTCAGGCCCCAATGGAAGCCCCCGGAGGCTGCATAGCTGGTGAGCTAAGTGGTGCCCGTGATTCCCATCCTGTGCGGCCGTCTGATGGGCATCTGTCAGAAGGCCACGTGGCTAGTGTTTAAAATAGGATTTTAAATTGGCTGATTTAAATGTGCATAATAGGTAACTTTAGGTGGAGCTTTACGTATTTATGTCAGACTTGTAAATTCAGGTAAAACGGCCGTCAGCTTGGAGCTGTTTGGACGCCTATAACTACCCGTTCTTTCTCAGCTATGGCTTTCATTTTCAAGTAGGACATCCCTCTGTGTCTCTGCAGCCATTGCTGATCATGAAGCTTAGCAATCTGGCTTCCACTCAGAGTTGTGTGGAGGGGATCCTGCCCCTACCTGCTTTGGCCCAGCGTCTGGTCCTGAGGCCAGGGCTGAACAGACAGTGTCCGTGAGGCAAGCCCAGTGCCTGGGAGTTGAGTGGGTGTTTCATGGCAGCCAGGGTCTTGGTCCATGATGTTTTGTGTGGCTTGCCCAGCACTGGGCATCCCGGGGACCCAGCACAGACAGCCTTTGCGGAAGCGCTGGTGAGTCCGAGCCTCCCATGTGTAGAGGTGGGACCTCAGAGCACTCCCCTGCCCCCCTCAGGCTGTTCTTGGCTCCCTCGAGGCTCAACCCTTGATGTTCTGGCTCAGCCCCGAAATGAGGTCACGTTTCTGCTCCTTAAGTGTGTGCATGTGCATGTGTTTGTTTGTGTTTGCATGTGTGCACATGTGTGTGCGTGTGCATGTTTGCGTGTGTGTGCACCTTAACCTCCAGGCAGTCCTCAGGGCACTTCTTGGCTCCGTGTTTGTGCCCTAAGAGAAACCATGTGAGGGAAACACCCAAACGCGGCCTCGGGGAAGTCTGGGTAGCTCTGAGCCTGACCTGTCCTTCTCCAGGTATCTAAAGTTGCTTTATTTCAGCAGCGGCGGAGACCCTCCGGGCAGCTGAGTGCAGAGCCTTTGCCCTCCTTGCCTGCCCCGTCCCGGGGCTCTTGCTCCTCCCTCTTTTCTGCTTGCTTCAGTGGCAAGCCTGTGGCTTGTGAGTGGCAGTGGGTTGCCCTGTGCCCTGCGGGGAGGCATGGAGCACTGCTCTTAAATATAAAAGTCTCTCCTTCCCCGCGCACTCCCTTTCTGATACAGCAGGTCCCAAACCAGCCTGGCCTGCCAGCTCACAGAGCGGTGTTGGCACTGTAAATAAAAGCCCAGGTGTGCTGTCCAAGGCCTCCAGATATGGCCTTAATCAGCCTCACAGCACCAGCCTCCAAGGTCAACAGCAGCCGCACCTCAGTGCCAAGTGAGTGTAGACGGTTCTTTCAGTAGGTGTCAGAAGGCGGCTGTGAAGCAGACACTTGGCTCTGGGCAGACTGCGGGGACCATGTGCTAATTGCCACCGGCAGGCTGTGTGGCCTCGAGCAAATGACTGACCCCTCTGGCCTTCTTCCCCTTCTGTGAGGCCTGAGACGGTGTTTGGGACACAGCTGGTGCTCAGTGTGCACCGTGGGTGTTAGCACTCCACCACCCAGCGGATTCTTCACACACTCTACCTGCATTCACGCCAAGGAGCCTGGGGCCAGGGTCCCCATCCGTGACAAGGCGAGACCCCTGATTCCACAGAGGAGCCGTGTGGGGACTGAGCTTCTGTGGAGGACGTGGTGGGAAGACCTGGAGCTGGCTTTGGGGGTCCATCCTAGATCTGTGTGGCCCTGGGGAAGGGATGCTCGTGCTACCAGATCTCCTCAGATGTAAAACAAATGGTGCCTGGACCTGGGGGAGATCCTACAGCCTGGTCCGGCCTGGCCATGCCAGGCTTGGTTTATTTGCCCTCACAGATGAAGCCATCCCCTTTATTTAAAAAAAAAGAAAGAAAAAGCCAGCAGTTTGTCATCCCCAAATGCCCTGGTGTCTTGTCAGCATAGGCCTGCCCCAGGGGCTGGTTCTACTGAGGCCCCTGTGTCCCCTCAATGCCTCAATGTGGGGGATCAGCAGCTGCGCCTCAGCCCCACCCACCAGTGCCCCTCACAGTGTGTCCAGCTCTTATCAGTGGCTGTGCCTCAGCCCCGCCCACCAGGTGCCCTCACAGTGTGTGTGTCCAGCTCTGTCAGCGGCTGTGCCTCGGCCCCACCCACCAGGCGCCCTCAGAGTGTGTGTGTCCAGCTCTATCAGCGGCTGTGCCTCGACCCCACCCACCATGCACCCTCACAGTGTGTGTCCAGCTCTATCAGCGGCTGTGCCTCGGCCCCACCCACCACGCACCCTCACAGTGTGTGTCCAGCTCTATCAGCAGCTGCGCCTCAGCCCCGCCCACCAGGCGCCCTCACAGCATGTGTGTCCAGCTCTAACTCTTCCTGCACCCCAAGACCATCTCTCTGGCCAAATCCACATGGGCCATGCAACCCCCGGGGCCCTGAGAACGGTCCTTCCTGCCCCAGTGGCTCCCAGGGCTCCAGGTGGCCCTGGCAGTGCCATGCCACCTCTGTCTGTCTGTGTCTTCTCTAAATGCATCTGTCCTGGGTTCAGGGCCACCTCATCCAGGACGAGCTCTTAGCTGGCTCAGCACTTCTGCAAAGACGCCCTTTCCAAATAAGGTCACGTACATAGGTTCCGGGGGAACATGACTGTCTGGGGAACATGGTGGGGGGGCTCCAGGCTGCTCTGTAGAATGCTGCCAGGAGAATCCTGGGTGTCACCCAGCCCAGGTCCCCATGGAACCGTCCGCCATCCCTGTATCTCTGTGCATCTCTGCGTCTTAGCTGTGGCTGGAAGGACACTTGGGGCTTTGGACTCGGCAGAGCCCTGAGCACTGCTCTGGCCCCAGCCCTAGGCCGACAACAGTGGGAGCAATTCTCATGCTTTGTGAGGGTTCATGGACTGAATGAGCTTCCCGAGGCGCCGAGGTCCCTGTTGAATGTGATACAAAGTGGCCCAATAGGGACCCGCCACCTGCCACCCCACCCTAGCTCCACAGTGAAGACAAAGGACCCCAGACTTCAGACTTAGACAGCAGAGACGGGCTCTTTCTTACCCCTGAGGACCTGAAATCAGGAATCATGGTGTCCAAGGCTGACCCGTTCGGAAGCTGTTCCCAGCCTCCTTTCTGGGCGGGGGATGGCATGTCTCGTGCACCCGGCCTTCTCCTTCCTGGAGGGGATGTTTGCATCCCCCTTTTTTTTTTGAGACGGAGTTTCGCTCTTGTTACCCAGGCTGGAGTGCAATGGCGCGATCTCGGCTCACCGCAACCTCCGCCTCCTGGGTTCAGGCAATTCTCCTGCCTCAGCCTCCTGCGTAGCTGGGACTACAGGCACGCGCCACCATGCCCAGCTAATTTTTTGTATTTTTAGTAGAGATGGGGTTTCACCATGTTGACCAGGATGGTCTCGATCTGTTGACCTCGTGATCCACCTGCCTCGGCCCCCCAAAGCTGGGATTACAGGCTTGAGCCACCGCGCCCGGCTGCATCCCCTTTTTATGATACGGATCCCGGTCTCATCGGATGGGGGCCCACCCATTTCCCCATGTAACCTTAGTCACCTCTTTAATGGCTGAGTTTCAAAACCTGCCACATTTGGAGGGATTGGGGGGTAGGGTTCCAAGACAGCTTCTTTTGGGGTCACAATTTAGCCGTAACAGGAGGACCCCAGATGGGAAGCACCTCGAGGCCTATGGGAAAGATGCCCCAGGGCCAGGACAGCACAGGTGTTTGTATCACAGCAGCCTGTTTACTCACCAGTTGATTTCTAATGTGAAACCCCTCAAGATGCAGAGAGGCCGCAGCCACCGGGGTCCCCAGAAGGCCTTGGGCAGTGGGGGGGCCTGTTTATCTGGGAACTGGGGTGGGTAGTGAGGAGGAGCCCTATGGAGCCTCGGTCTGGTGGGGAATGACGGCTGGTGAGGGCAAGGGGAGGGCAGCATGGGGTTCAGGAGGAAGGTGGTACGTGGCACATTTGCCTGGTAGCTGGTCCACACGGCGGCTGACCGTGGCTCCTGTTAGCCACAGGCAGCAATGGCAGCAGACCGAGGCCGACCCAGCACTGGCCAGAGCTCAGTGGCTGGGCGTCTCCCCTGCTGGGGGCTCACGCAGCCAGGGAGGCCGTCTCTTTCTCATTCCCGCACCTCCCAAGGTTGGCACCAAGAGGAGCTCCTTTCTCATGCTGGAGGGTCCAGAAAGCTTTCAGGGCGTGAATTTAAGGAAGAATAAGGTCAGGCTCCAGGACCAATGTGTACACCCCCCTGCAGAGCCCATCAGGGCCACTCAGCTGCAAATGGCAGACAACAAGGCTGACAGGGAGAGCGGGGGCAGGGCGGGTGCAGGTCAGGGTGATCCGGGTCCCCGGCCTCTGACTCAGCCTCTGCGTCTCAGCCCCACTCTCCCCCATGTGGACCCGTCCCAGTGGGCCCTGAAGCCACACCGCTGAAGTGCCAGCTTCTCCTTCCAACAGTCGTAAAAGTGCAGGACTCGGGTCCCTGTGACCAGGCCATGCACAGCCCCCACCTTCCCGCGGCAGAGCTGTCCCTGGGAGGCACGGTGCCTGAGTTCGGGTCTGGCTAGATGCCACCTGGATTTGGGAGACTCTTGAGACAAGGCAGGCAGAGCTTTTGGCCACCCCCATTGGGGATGTGCTGGGACGTTCCTGCTGAACGTGCTGTACCCACGGAGAGACATGCTCTTGCTAACCAGACATTCTTCTCAGGACTCACCAGCCCCTTGGACCAGACATTCTTCTCAGGACTCACCAGCCCCTCCGATACCACTTGGCCACACCTGCTGCGTGGCTGAAGCCTGGAGGACCCCACACGGAGGCACGGAGATGCCCCTGCACCCTCTGGGGGACAAGCCCTTTGTCCGGGGGCCACCACTCACCTTCCCCAGCCCCACTTCGGCCATGGAAAACGGGTTTGACCACACCCTGCCCGGCAGGAGGGCGCCCCTGGACACGCCCCTGAGCCCTGGCTCCCTGCATTCCGCTGCCCATAGCCCCCTGGACACCAGCAGCCAGTCCCTCTGCCAGCCCCGGGCCGAGAAGCTTGGCACCCGGGGGGCCCACGAGGCACGGTACGTCTCGGCCAGGCAGAGCGCGGTGTGCGGCTGGTGGGCCTTCGCGCCGCAGTGTCTGCAGGTCCTCAACACGTCCAAGGGCGTCCTGTTCTTCCTTTGCGCGGCCGCCTTCCTGCAGGGCATGACCGTGAATGGCATCATCAACACAGTCATCACCTCCCTGGAGCGCCGCTACGACCTGCACAGCTACCAGAGTGGGCTCATCGCCAGCTCCTACGACATCGCAGCCTGCCTCTGCCTCACCTTCGTCAGCTACTTCGGGGGCTCCGGGCACAAGCCGCGCTGGCTGGGCTGGGGCGTGCTGGTCATGGGCGTGGGCTCACTGGTCTTCGCACTGCCGCACTTCACGGCTGGCCACTACGAGGTGGCGGCGGACGCGGGTGTCAGGACGTGCCCCGCTGACCCCGGAGCGGTGTGTGCCAACAGCGCTTCAGGTCTGTCCCGCTACCAGCTGCTCTTCATGCTGGGCCAGTTCCTGCACGGCGTGGGTGCCACACCCCTCTACACGCTGGGCGTCACCTACCTGGATGAGAATGTCAAGTCCAGCTACTCGCCTGTCTACATTGGTGAGTGGGGTGCGGGGGACCCAGGGCAGGGCAGCCGAAGGTAGTGTTGCAGAAGTGAGGATGAGTGGCTGGAGCCAGCGCTGCCCCTGCCTTCCTGCGGCCCTTGTCTGCATGGCCGGGGGCTGCCACGAGAGGTGGTGGGGGAGGGGGTCCATCCAGCCTGAGGCCCAAAGCTGATGCAGGGGACCCCAGCGTTCTTATGCCCTGCTCAGGGCTGCAGGCCACTGGCTCGAGAGCCTCAGTGGGACCCCTGCTCGGCGTGCAGCCCCCCTTGCTAGGACCAAGGGGCACAGGGTCACCAGGTGCTGGGCAGTGCCTGGTCCACTGTGACTGACCTCATGCTCAGGATGGGAGCCTGGCACCTGACTGGGAAGGAGGGGCTTTCCGTGGGCTAAGAGCCCAAGACCACACCCACGTCTCCCTGAAAGCGCCACGTGGGCCCCAGCAGCCACACGGGTGCAGAAAAATGGAGCAAACCTGGAGAGTCAGAACGTTCAGGGAAAATCACACAAAGCAGCTCAGGCTGCTTCACAGCTGCCCAAGAGTTAATGTCTGTGCCACACTCCGCGAGGCAGCTGCCCTGGGCCCCTCACTGGCTTCTGGCTCCTGTTTGTTGAGACACAGGGAAGCCCCGTGGCCTGTCCCATGCAGCCAAGTTGACCCTGTGCACGGCCCGCCTGAACCCACTTCTCCGCGTCCCCCTGCCTGGCTTGGCTTTCCTGGGAAGGCCCTTGTAGGGACAGTCACAGGGAGCAGCTGGCCGCAGCTGGACTCTGCAGCGACCTCAGTCTCCTCCTGTCCGCCTTGAACTCCATGCATCCCAGTCACTGGCAGTGGCCACCCTGAGAGCCAGGGCAGGCGCTGGGGTATCACTCCAGCAAGGGGACATCCACCACGCCAGACCTTCCACGCGGCTGGGCCAAGGGGCTGAGGCCTCTCTGGGCCCTGTCCCCATGCTGGGCCCTCATTCCTGCCAGGGTCAGCCTGTGCGGCTCCTTAGCCCCAGATGGGGCTTCCAGAGCCTTTGACCTTTCGTGAGGGCAAGACCACAGTGCACTTGACTTCAAGGGCGTTTTTAAAAGCGGACACTGACCCATGTCAGGCCGAATGGCGGCTGCATGGGCCGACCTAACTTAAAAGAGGCCCCGAGGGGAGTGGGGGTAGACGAGGGACGGGGTGGGGCGGGGAGATAAGGGATAGTGGAGGGCAGGGGAGACACGGGATGAGGCCGGGGAGACGCGGGACACGGCGGGGGAGGAAATGAGGGATGGTGGAGGAGACACAAGTGGGATGCTGGGAGACGAGGAACAGCAGGCTCAGGGCTCCTCCCAGGCACCGGGCCCCATGTGACCCTCGGCAGCCCCTGGGTGGTGCACGGGTGGCCCTGATGCACCTGCCTGTCTCACAGCCATCTTCTACACGGCGGCCATCCTGGGCCCTGCCGCTGGCTACCTGATTGGAGGCGCCCTGCTGAACATCTACACGGACGTGGGCCGACGGTGAGTGGCCACCACCCTCCTGCCTACTGCGGCGCTGCACCCACAGGAGCCCACTGAGCTGTCTGCACAGCGGAGAGACCTGCGTCTCTCTGGAGGGGGGTTCTGAGCCAGCACGCTGAGTCAGGCCTGGCGAGGAGCAGATGCTGGGTCCCCCAGGCTGGAGAGAGTCAGGGCCGGCCTTGGCTCTGGAGGACTTGGGGGATCTGTGGGGGGCCTTGGGATTCTGCCCCAGGGCAGGGGGCAGTGAAGACGGAGGGTACCCGAGGCCCAGGCACTTCCCCAAAGCTCAGCTGTCCCTGGCCGCTATTTCCCTGATGGAACTGAGATTCCTTTGTTTCTTTCCTTCTTTTGTATCTTGTGTGTGGCCCTAGTTTCTGTAAATGCAAGCAGGAGAAAGCAAGGGGGAGTCAGGGAAGGGGCAGAGAGAGAGACAGGGAAAGACAGAGACAGAGAGACAAGGAAGGACAGAGAGACAGAGACAGACAGAGAGAGACAGAGGGAAAGACAGAGAGACAGGGAAAGACAGAGAGAGACAGGGAAGGACAGAGAGACAGAGACAGAGATAGAGGAAAAGACAGAGACAGAGAGAGAGAGAATGAGAGACAGAGATACAGAGAGAGAGAGAGAGAGAGACGGGGCTCATGTCCTGCATCTGGATGCTTCTCTGGGTCTCTGTGCCCTGTCTGGCTCCCGGTTCTGGCCCTACTTTGCACAGAGGAGGGAGGCAGGCGGGGTCTGGCCCTGGAGGCGCCACAGCATTTCCGCGCCAGAGCAAGCCGGTGCCGCCTGGCTGCAGCTTTGTGGGATGTTGGTGCTCCCTTCGTCCTCCATCTGTCTCTGCAGCTTTGCTCCCGGCCTTTGCTGGCCTTTTGCCCTCCCGCCTCTTTCTCGATGCAAAGATGCATCGCTGGAGGTCCAGAGCTGGGATGGGCTTCTGCCACTCACTGTGGCCAGCTCAGCCCACGCTTCTCCACACACCTTCTCATTTGAAAGCGCACCTATGTGCACATCGCCGCGTGCCCAACAGTGCCTTTGAGGGGAGCTGTTGGTGAGCTCCAGCTGAGCCCTCCGGTGTCCCCAGGAAAGCCACCTGTCACCCTCTGCACCGTGGGAGGGATGCCTCAGCCTGCTGTTGCCTGGAGAGCCTGCCCTTCCTAACCTCCAGCGCCACTGTGGTCTCAGTCAGGACCAGGCCACGGGTGGCGTCTCCAGACCTGGAGCGTGGGCCAAGGCAGGGACCCGTCTGTCCTAGGGGGACAGCCAAGCCAAGGTGGTGCTTGCTTTGGTTTGCAAGGAAGTGACAGGACCTGTGGCCAGAAGCCCTGGGGTCTGGTGTTGACCAGCGTGCAGGCAGACCCTGGAGGTCTGCCCGGAGGAGGGGTCGGGGTCCCCAGTGTGTGTGCCACGGAGGGCACGGGTGGGCTGAGTGCTGACCCAGGTTTGCCACTATCTCTTCCACAGGACGGAGCTGACCACCGACAGTCCACTGTGGGTGGGCGCCTGGTGGGTTGGCTTCCTGGGCTCTGGGGCCGCCGCCTTCCTGATTGCCGTGCCCATCCTCGGCTACCCAAGGCAGCTGCCAGGTGGGTCTCCTCCCCAGCCCAGCCTTCATGTCGGGAAGACCGTCCCTTAGTCCTGGTGAAGGGGTGCCTGTTTCCTGTGCTGTCTCTTCCCACCGTGATGAAATCTGCAGCACACACACCTCATTCTCAGCCTTTGATCTTCATCTTCCTATCTGGGCAGAAAGATGCCTTCTGGCTGTGGCACAGGTTTTGTGTCCCTCCTGTCCCCCTCAGGAACAGGCTTGTCCCAGTCAGGGCAGAGGCTCCGTCCCTCCTTCCCGCCAGCGCAGCTTGGGGCCCCAGCCCTCCCACGCCTCCGACCCAGCTTGCGACATGTTCTCATGCGGTTTCTGCTCCAGTGCCCCCACACTGGGGCTTCGAGGGCTGCAGGGATGTCAGACAATGACATTCTCAGAGTAGGGAGGGCGGGGGAGTGGGCAGAGCCTCCCCAGAGAGGCCCCGGGAGCCCCCAGCCCCAGCTGGCTCTGCCTTCCAGGCTCCCAGCACTACGTGGTCATGAGAACAGCAGAAGTGCAGCAGCTGAAGGACGGCGGCCGCAGGGCAGCCAGCAGCCCGGGCTTCGGGACAACCCTCAGAGACCTGCCTCAGTAAGCACCCAGGCGGGGTGTCCCCCGTGTCCTAAACCTTTGGAGGGCCGCAAAGCGGGGGAGTTGGTGAGACCCTTCCAGATCGTGTGATGCGGATGCAGCCCCTAACCTCTGTCTCGACCCACCAACCCCTGAGACATGGGCCAAGAGATTAAGGAGCAGGAAATAGAACCTCTCAGGCCAGGGGACACAGACTCACCATGAGTCCCACAGAGCCGTGGCTGAGTCCCACAGAGCTGTGGGTGAGTTCCGTGGGGCCGTGGGTTAGTCCCATGGGGCCGTGGGTGAGTCCCGCCATGCTGTGGGTGAGTACCACAGAGCCGTGGGTGAGTCCTACAGAGACGTAGGTGAGTCCCGCCATGTTGGGGGTGAGCCCCACAGTGCTGTGGCTTAGTCCCATGGGCCGTGGGTTAGTCCCACAGAAACGTGGGTGAGTCCTGCCATGTAGTGGGTGAGTGCCGCAGTGCCGTGGGTGAGTCCCCTGGGGCTGTGGCTGAGTCCTGAAGTGGGGCCAGGGCCTCGGCCCGCTCCCAGGGACCCGTCACTCACAGTGTGGAGGCTCCTTCGGACTGAGCCTGGCTCCTGATGGCTGCAGAGTAAATCCCTTCCATACCAGCGAATCTCCTCAAGGCTGCATGTCCTGCGTCCCCTAGGGAAGCTGCATTGGACTTGACGGCCTTCCCCAAGCATCTGACTCCCTTTCATCAGGCGTCACCTGTGCTGTGCCCTGGGGTCTGGGATGCTGACCTCTGCCTCCCGCCGTCCCACGGGGTCTCTGATTCCCCTTTTGCCTCCCCTCCATCCTGCGTGGCCGCTCACCACTCCAGGGAGGTCACCTGCTTTGCTGCCCTGCCTTTTCTGCTGAGTGTGATCCTGCTCCCTTTGCTGACTTGCAGCGCTGCTAGGGAGGACCCGGAGGCCTGAGCCGGTGGGGTCCTAGAGGGACAACATGGGGACCCGGGGCCTACCGGTCTCTTCTGGGGATCATGCCTTCCCTGGGGGGACTCTCCCCAGGGCTGGGCAAGGTGGCCCTCAGGGTGGTCAGTGCCCAAGTCCTCAGCCTCTGAGGCCCTAGCACGATGGCTCTGTGCCCTTTGACAGCAGGTCCCTGCGCTCACCAATGGCTGCATCTCACTGGCTGTAGTGGGTGGAGGGTGTGGGCAATGGGCGAGTCCCCACTGCCTGCCCTCAACTGGGACAAGAGGAAGGCGTCAGGGCCAAAGGCGGACCCTCAGAAAGCCCCGGGCGGAGAGGAGCCGGGCTGGATGAAGGTGGGAGGAGAGGCTTCATTAGGGCCTTGGTAGACCCCAAAGGAGCTGGGAGCTGCCTGCTAAGGAGGGTGACCCCATGGACCAAGGTGACCCGGGGCCATGTCCACCAGGAGTTGAGGGAGTATGGTGCAGGCAGCGGCTCACCCTCTGTGTCCCACCCGGCAGCAAAACGGCTCAGGGCTGAGGACTGGGCGCCCTGTTCCCCTCGGGGTTGGCTGCGAGCCAAAGGTGTGGGCCTGGCCCTGAGCCTTTCGTTCATCATGTTAAAGAGGTTTGTGTCCAGAGCTGGTTCCCTGAACCCATTTCTGGTAAGAAATGGATTGTGGGACGTGCGTGCTTTATTAAAGTTATGACTAACTCTCTGGGCAAATTCAACACGAGAATTTCAGACAAGCAATCCGTGATTAAGAAACAAGGAAGTTTGCGTAGAGCCTCGGAGAGTCATGGCCCTCCTAACGCAGCCGCACACCCCTACCCTAGCCTGGGCAGGCCTGGGAAAAGCCCCAGGAAGGGATTCCCCAAGGACCCCACACACCAGGACCCCCTGAGGATGCCCCCAGCCCTGTCACCCCACACACCAGGACCCCCTGAGGGTGCCTCCCCAGCCCTGTATCTCTATATACCAGGATCCTCCCAAAGTGCCCACCCCAGCCCTGTCCCCCCACATACCAGGACCCCCTGGGTGCCCCCTCAGCCTTGTCTCCCAACACAGCAGGACCCCCTGGGTGCCTCCCCAGCTCTGTACCTTGGCCCGGACCCCCCAGGGTGCCCACCCAGCCTGTCACCCCACACACCAGGACCCCCCAAGGGTGCCCACAATCCTGTTCCCCCACACACCAGAACTGACTGGGGAGGAGGCGGTGGGGGGCCGTGAGCCAGGGTGCCTTCTGCCCTCCATCTTCTTGCTTTTGTCAAGACAGGAGACCCAAGTGGGTAACCAGAAAGAAAGGCGTTTCACTCCTCACGTCAGGAAATAAATGTTGAAAGAATTCGGCTCTCCCATTTTAATCAGGGAGGGGAACAAAAAGCACCCGTGTTCATGCCTGCTCTGAGGCCAGTCTGCCAACACCTCCAAGGCGGCAGTGTCTGTGCAGCTGGAGTGGGGTTTCGGTTGCTAACATCAGCTCTACAAGGCACCCGTGGGCCTGTTGGGGCTCAGAGGCTAACTAGGGCCGCGTCACCCGGCCCTAATTCTTCAGAATCTATTTACATTTGGCCACGTCCTCAAACACAAGCATTTGAATGTTTCAGGCATTCAGAGTTGCGTTCATCGGAGCCAGTTCTAGGTGTGGCCACAAGGGAAGGGCCGCCCTCCTGCCAATGGGGTGACGGGAGGCCGCCCTCTGCTCTGGGGAGAGGTGAGAAAGCCCAGGTTTACAAGACGTCGCTAAGCTGCAGGCGCAGGGTCAAGTCAGCGACACCGCGGTGTGAGCAGAGGTGACTGCGCAGGCCCCTCCCAAGTGGTAGACGTGTCATGGATTGTGAAAATTTGCATGACCGAGGGCTGATGTGAGAGCAAGGCTACTGTGCCAAGATCTAGGGCTTCAGGGAAAGTCTCTGCCGCAGCCCATGTTACTCATGAGTTCCAGGGACAGGCCAATAGCTGCACCTGCAAACACCCCCGTCTGAGGCCAAGAGTCCCAGTGCGGCTGTGAACAGGGTGCAGCCGTGAGCTGGGATGACGGCTTTGCCCAGTCTGGGTGGTCCGTGCACTCGCAGAGGCGGAGTCTGGGTGGTCCGTGCACTCACAGAGGCGGAGTCTGGGTGGTCCGTGCACTCACAGAGGTGGAGTCTGGGTGGTCCGTGCACTCACAGAGGCGGAGTCTGGGTGGTCCGTGCACTCGCAGAGGTGGAGTCTGGGTGGTCCGTGCACTCGCAGAGGCGGAGTCTGGGTGGTCCGTGCATTTGCAGAGGCAGAGTCTGGGTGGTTTGTGCATTTGCAGAGGCAGAGTCTGGGTGGTTTGTGCATTTGCAGAGGTGGAGTCTGGGAGGTCTGTGCATTTGCAGAGACGGAGTCTGGGTGAATCGTATACTTGCAGAGATGGTTTCCCCCGTGCCTGCCTCACTCGTTGCACTGGCCCGGAGGGCTTCGCGTGGTTGACGAGACGCAGCACGTTTTCCATCTCAGCATCTGTGTGCATAAGCAGTAATCAGGAGCCCTACTTGGCCTCCAGCGCTAACAGAAACAGGGAGAGCCCCCAGCCCCCAGGACCCCGTGTATGGGGACTGGCAATCCCGGCCTCTGCCCCACCGCACTGCTGTCTGCTACCTCCTGAGTTAGAGCCTGCAAGGTGTGATGTGGGGCCTTCCCAGCTTCCACGCAGCACAGCCTCATCCTGAGACTGCACAGCCAGGACCATAACAGGCAGATGTAGAGGTTGAGGCTGAGCCTGCAGGGCCGGACAGGACTGGGGGTCCCCACAGTTACCCCAGGGCTCCAGGTTCATGCCCCAAGGAATCACCCTGGATGAGGCCTCACCACTCCTAGGGCCACTGGCCCCCAAGTGCAAACCAAGCCAGCCAGGTCCAACGGGACCCCTTGAATCGAGGATTCCAATCGCAGAGCCTTCCTGCCCCACTTCTCCCAGGGGCTGTTGGTGGAGGACGGGCCGCATCTCTCAGTGACTCCGTTCTGCTATCCCAAGGCCCATGCAGTCCTGGACTTGGTGGCCTCTGCCTCCCCTAGTCAGTTCCCTTTTTCAGGCCCTGCTGCTGGCTCGTAATGGAACAGGGTCCTGGGTCCCTTGGGGTCTCTCCCCACCTGAGCTGAAGCTCAGGCCAAGGCACTGATAAGGTTTCTCCCTAACAAGAGACTGCAGCTTTAGGACGAGTGGGCCAGTGGCTTAGGCTGGAAACATGGGTCTCCACCTGCCAAATGCAGCCTGGCACCCCCCTGGGTTTCTCTGGAATAATGTGGGTGTCCCATACCTGCCTGCACCCCACTTCACTCCCTGTCAGAATGAGGCCCTTTGTGCTCAGGGCAAGGTGACAGCCTCAGGAACAGCAAGCTTCTCACACCCTGGGTCTGGCTCACTCTGACCCTCGGTCTCTTCTCCACCCCCCACCTCTGCCCAGCTCCATCTGGCTCCTCCTGAAGAACCCCACATTCATCCTGCTCTGCCTGGCTGGGGCCACTGAGGCTACACTCATCACTGGCATGTCCACGTTCAGCCCCAAGTTTCTGGAGTCCCAGTTCAGCCTGAGTGCCTCAGAAGCTGCCACCTTGTTTGGTAAGAAAACTCTGAATCTTGGGGGTCCTCTGCTTTTATGTCAGTTCTCAGAGAAGCGGAGAGTCTTTGAGGGCGTCTTCTAGAAAGATCCAAAGAGGGCACGTGGCAGTGAGTGCCCCCACCACCAGAGCAGGCTTGAAGAGCACAGGTGTGGAGACTGCCCTGGGGCTCAGCCGTTCAGTCCACAGGCCCGGGGGGTGGTAGTCCCGCCCCCTTCATGGGCTCCACCCGCTCACCACCCAGCCTTGGCCTCTGTGACTTGGTGCAGGAAGGGTTTGGACCTGGCTGCCCTGTGAGCCGGGCACTGGTGCCTCAGGACCTCCTGGGACAAGGCAGCTGGAGCCCTGGGGCCTGCCTGTGGGTTTCTTGGTGCCAGAGACAGGTTGGGCCTCCCAGGCTGGGCAGGTCTGCAGAAGGTGGGGACCCCTCTTCAGAGCCCTTCCTCCTGCTGACCTGTCCCCTCCCACCTTTCCCCCCATGTGTCCCCTCCATGTGTTTCCCCTGTCCTCCTCCCCACCTATACCTCCCACCTGTCCCCCATCTATTCTTTCCTCACCTGTCCCCTCCCCACCTGCCGCCACCCACCTCTCCCCTTCCCACCTATCCCCTCCCCACCTGTCCCCCTACCAGTCCCCTCCACATGTTTCCACATTCCCCTCCCCACCTGTATCCCCCACCTATCCCCTCCCAACTTGGCCCAGAAGCCAGGTTATGGCTAATCCCACTTTTGTACGGATGGTGGCCATTTGGGCTTTGACAAATGTCCTCATCACTGTTACCCTGTAGGGACTCGGCAGAGGCCTCTGGGGGAGGGGGTGTGTGGCTGCCCTGGGGGGCACTGGAGGAGTCATTGGCTTCCCCTGGAGCAGCGGCCTCTGACCTTGCAGCACTGTGGGCTCTCCTCCACCCCCAGCCCCGCCCCTGCTCCCGCCCTGCATCTTTTGGCCTCTGAGGCATCCCCCCGAAGGCCCTGGACAGAGGTCCCTCCCTCCAGGGGCTTTACCAGCACAGCAGCTGAGTGCTGAAGCGTGGGGTCGAGTGCTGCCAGGCCAGCAGGAACTGATCCCTCTGTGCCTCAGTTTCTGCACCTGTAAAGTGGACCTGGCTGATGCACCTCCCTCCCCCACCCCGGCCTTCTAACTGAGTCCCTTGCTGAGTCTCCCTCTCCCCAGGGTACCTGGTGGTGCCGGCAGGTGGTGGTGGCACCTTCCTGGGTGGCTTCTTTGTGAACAAGCTGAGGCTCCGGGGCTCCGCAGTGGTCAAGTTCTGCCTGCTCTGCACCCTCGTCAGCCTGCTGGGCATCCTCGTCTTCTCCCTGCACTGCCCCGGCGTGCCCATGGCAGGTGTCACGGCCAGCTACAGCGGGAGGTGAGGGCCACGTGGCGCCTGGGTATGGGTCTGGGCCCTGAGCAGCCGAGGTCCCTGGGGATGGCTGAGGAGGGGCGCAGCACCTCGGGGAGGTGGTGTTCTGGAAAGGGCTATGGTGCAGGACAGCAGCAAGGGCAACACCCGCTCAGCGTCCCCATGAAAGGGCGTCGAGGCAGCCTCAGATGCGCCTATGCTCAGGTCCTGGCTGGGCCCCTGGCAGTCACGTGCCTCTCTGGGCCTCGGCCCTCTGCTCTGTAGCTCTGTCAAATGGAGCCACAGCCCCAGTGTACAGGGTCCTTGAGGCTGTTCTCTCTCGGTGACATAAAAAGTGTCCCAGGATGGGCTCCCAGCGTTGCCGTATGCTGGGAATTGGAGGAGACCTGCTGGTCAGGTGGCAATTAGGGAATATCCAAAATGCACATGGGCAGCCTGCACCTCGGCCATGCCGTGTGGGCCCCGGGAGTGCACCTGCAGGCGCTGTACGGGGCAAGACGCACAAAGCGGCCACCGTGTCATTGTCGGAAACACGAATGCTGAAAGCAACCCGAGAGTCGTGAGGGTGGACGGGGTCACCATGCTGTCCTCACAACAGAGGCCCTGAAGGAATGGAGGAAGCTCGTCCTGGGCCACCTCCAGGACATGTGGTGAAGCGGGAAGAAGGAAGGAGTTGGACAGTGGGCGCAGTGTCCTCCGATGTGAGGGAGAAGTGCACACGTCTGTGACGGCCGAGGGGCATGTGTGTGTAGCGACGCCTGCAATCACACGGCCGGCCTGTGCTGGAGAACTGAGGACCGGGGTGGGGTTGCCTTTGTCCACCTGGTGCTGTTTCTGTTGTAATGTACGCATCCGGTCCCTGTGAACGTGTTGCCATCTAAACCAAACCAATGAACCTGGGGGCCTGTGCACGAGTGGACCGAAGAGGAGGGCATGGTGTTCCCTGCATGAAAAGGAAAAATTCTGTCACCAGAAGGCAGTGCCCAGCGTGCTGGGGGTGGCACAGCCTTGGCAAGTTTAGAGATCCAAAATGCCGACTGGGGGTGACAAGACCCAAGGCTGACCCTGTGCCTGCTGGGCGCCCGCCTGGCCCTGGCCTGGCCCCACCACCCTGTGTCCCCTCTGCAGCCTCCTTCCTGAAGGCCACTTGAACCTAACAGCTCCCTGCAACGCTGCCTGCAGCTGCCGGCCAGAACACTACAGCCCCGTGTGCGGCTCCGACGGCCGTGGGTACTTCTCGCCGTGCCATGCGGGGTGCCCTGCGGCCGCCCAGACCAGCGCAGATGGCCAGAAGGTGAGTGCGGCTGCTGCCTGCCCTGGCGCAGACCCTGGGGGGGCCTGGCCTTCCCCTCGTAACGCACGCTGTTGTTGCACTTCCCAGGTGCACCGAGACTGTAGCTGTGTCCCTCAGAACCTTTCCTCTGGGTCTGGCCATGCCACTGCAGGGAAATGCACCTCAGCTTGTCAGAAAAAGCCCCTCCTTCTGGTTTTCATGTTCGTTGTAATTACCTTTACATTCCTCAGCAGCATTCCTGCACTAACAGCGACTCTAAGGTAAGCCGGGGTCGGGTGCATGCTCATCCACAGCCTCTCTCCACAGCAGCCCCAGGCGGAGCTTTGCGGATCCTGCTCAGTGGGCCTGTCTGTCACTGGCGGCAGGAGAGACCTTGCTGTCTCTGACCTCTGACGAGGGGCTTCCCACTTGGGGAGGTGACGATGTGGCTGGGGGCTGACTTGGCATGCCACCCAGCTTCTGTGGGCGCTGACACCGAGTTCGGTTTTCTATTGCAGGTGTGTCTGTGACCCTCAGAGATCCTTTGCCCTGGGAATCCAGTGGATTGTGGTTAGAATACTAGGTACTGTGCAGTGAGGAAGCCGTGGTCAGTTATGCAGTGTGTTCACTGCACAAGGGCACGGGCAAGTGTGTAACCACCCAGCGGATGTGCCTCCCAGCAGGAGGCTGTGCCCACCTGGGAAGGGTTCCATTCCCTAACTGTCCACTAGAGGGGCCCATCGTCATTTATTTACCCAAAGACTCTCCTGGGAGATCGGGGGAAACTCCCAGCTCCAATACCCCGAATACCCAAGGAAACGAATATTTGAGCCCCTTGAGAACTCTGACTGCCAGTATCACCTTCCCAGAGCCCATGATTCCAGGCCTCTTAGCCGCCCACACCTACCTGGTCCCCTGACCACCAGGAGTGTGGGTGTTGAGTGTGGGTGCTGAGTGAGGGTGCTCAGTGTGGGTGCTGAGTGAGGATGCTGAATATGAGTGCTGAGTGAGGATGCTGGGTCAGGGTGCTGAGTGTGAGTGCTCAGTGAGGGTGCTGAGTGAGGATGCTGAGTGAAGGTGCTGAGTGAGGGTGCTCTCAGGATGCTGACTGTGGGTGCTGAGTGAGGATGCTGAGTGAAGGTGCTGAGTGAGGGTGCTCTTAGGATGCTGACTGTGGGTGCTGAGTGAGGGTGCTGAGTGTGGGTACTGAGGATGCTGTGTGAGTGCTGAGTGTGGGTGCTGAGTGAGGATGCTGTGTGAGTGCTGAGTGAGGGTGCTGGGTGAGGGTGCTTTGTGAGGATGCTGAGTGAGGGTGCTGAATCGGTGCTGAGTGAGGATGCTGAGTGAGTGCTGAGAGCGCTGAGTGAAGATGCTGAGTGTGAGTGCTGAGTGTGGATGCTGAGTGAGGATGCTTAGGGTGCTGAGTGAGGGTGCTAGGATGCTGAGTGTGGGTGCTGACTGTGAGTGCTGATTGTGAGTGCTGAGTGAGGGTGCTAAGTGTGAGTGCTGAGTGTGAGTGCTGAGTCAGGGTGCTGAGGGTGCTGAATGTGAGTGCTTAGTGTGGGTGCTGAGTGAGGGTGCTGAGTGTGGGTCTGAGTGTCCGTGGTGAGTGTGGGTGCTGTGAGGGTACTGAGTGTGGGTGCTGAGTGAGGGTGCTGAGTGGGTGCTCAGTGTGGGTTCTAAGTGTGGTTTCTGAGTGGGTCATGAGTGAGGGTTCTGGGTTTAGGTGCTAGGTATGAGTGGTGAGTGAGGGTGCTGAATGTGGGTTCTGAATGAGGGTGCTGAGTGCTGAGTGTGGGTGCTGAGTGAGGGTGCTGAGTCGGTGCTTAAGTGTGGGTGCTGAGTGAGGGTTCTAAGGGTGGGTGCTCAGTGTGGGTGCTCTGTGGGTGCTGAGTTAGGGTTCTGAGGGTGGGTGCCGAGTTTGGTGCTGAGTGGGCTTCTCTCCGCAGGGGGCATCCCGGGGCCCATCGTCTTCGGCTGGGTGATCGACAAGGCCTGTCTGCTGTGGCAGGACCAGTGTGGCCAGCAGGGCTCCTGCCTCGTGTACCAGAACTCTGCCATGAGCCACTACATACTCATCATAGGGCTCCTGTACAAGGTGAGCAGGCCCAGGGAAGGGACCAAGGGTCTGCCCTGAGGGCGGCTGGGGCTCCGGACACCCTGCAATCTTCCAGCAGCTTGGACCACAGCCGCAGACATCACAGGCATCCTGCGACTGGTTTCTAGAAGAGGCCCGTCCCGCATTCCTCATGAGCTGGTTGTGGGGGGAGGCGGGCCAGCCACGGGGGCTCTGGGGTTCACTGTCCAGACCCCCAGCAGCTCCAGCAAAGCCCAGGCTCAGGCGCTGCTCCCTCCCCCACCTCCCGGGGCTGCCCCTCCATAGCCTGGCCTTGCACTTGCCTGGGGTGCCCATTAACTAAAAGCTTTGCAGAAATAAAAGGCGGCCCCTCCCATCAGAGGGGCTCCACCGGCTGTCCACTCTGGGCCTGGGCTGGGGGCCGGTGGGCAGGTTGCAGCTTCTCCATGCTCCGTGTGCCTTCAATTCCACTGAATCTCTTAGCCTGGCCCTCATTTTTCAAGCGCACAAAAACTTTCTGTTGTGACTCTTGGCATCTGCAGCTTGGGAGGAAGCTCCGGATTGTTTGGAATTTGCCCCCATTAGAGGATAAAGTACAAAAGCTTTTAAAGAAAACGCGGTCCCAGGGCCAGCTCTTCAGAGGATCTTGATGCTCTTCCTAGGGTGACAGACCCAGGAACGTGCAGCCATCAGGAGCCCCTGGCCACAGGCTGCCAGGAGGGAGGTTAGAGAAAGGGAAGGAACCCAGCTGGTTCACCTCCCCTGGGATTAGCAGAGAATAGGCCAGTCTGCAGAGGGTTAATTTAAAGACAAATGCCTCAGTTTCCCCTCATCTGAGGTTTCACTTTCCACAGTTTCAGTTATCCGAGGTCACCCACAGTCAGAACATATTAACTAGGAAATTCCAGAAGCAAACAGTTCCTACGTTTTAAAGCATGCGCCATTCTGCGCTCTGGTGAACCTTGATCTGTCCTGCCCAGGACTCAAATCCTCTCTGTCCAACTTTGGAAGAAGGTCAGAAATTACTCTGCAGGGAGCTTTGGGGATATTGGATATGAAGGCACAAGCCCTCTGTGATTATGATTTTTGCTTTGGCATAAAATAACTGATGACAGGCTCATGCCTGTGATCCCAGCACTTTGGGAGGTCGAGGCGGGAGGATCATCTGAGGTCAGGAGTTTGAGATCAGCCTGACCAACATGGAGAAAACCCCGTCTCTACTAAAATACAAAAAATTATCCAGGTGTGGTGGTGCATGCCTGTAATCACAGCTACTGGGGAGGCTGAGGCAGGAGAATCACTTGAACTCAGGAGGCGGAGATTGCGGTGAGCCGAGATTGTGCCATTACACTCCAGCCTGGGCAACAAGAGCCAAACTCCGTCTCAAAAACTAAACTAAAATAAAAAAATAATGGAGGTCCCTCTGTTGGGCGTGTCTCTGCTCAGGCTTGGGAGCGGTGACGTTTGGGGAGACCCAAAGGCATGTACACATCAGGAAATTGACGAAATGACTTCATGAGACATAACCTCACCCAGCGCATGCAGGCTGTCCACACCACAGCCTCTAGTCACTTCATAGCCGGCCTTGTCACCGCACCCCATTACCATATCACAGTGCCGTGTTCCAGCCGCACCCATTTTGCCTAATGGCCACAAAACACCAGAGCGCTGACGCCACCATTCAGCTCCACCAACAGGAAGCTGGAGGTGCTGCCTTCAGTGAGAAGCTGTGGTTCCTTGGCTGGGCCCAGTGCCACCCTTGACTCATGTGTCCACAGGGGTCTCAGTGTCTGCAGATGAGGGGGCTGCAGTATGTTCCCAGGGAGCCCTCTGAGGGTCTCTCTTTGCTGTGTTGAGTGCATCCCTTAGCCAGGAGCAACAGGCAAGGGCCCTGCACACACAGCCAGTGGGAGCCGTGTCCAGAGGGTCAGAGCTGGCCTCAGCCACGAATGCATCCATGTTCATTTTAGTGGGGAGCACACAGTGTCTCTTTATAATATCCCGCATGTTCCACTTGGTCCAGCACTGAGTCAAAACAGCCTCCCTCCACGAATGCAGCCTCAGAGCCATCAGCCAGGCTGACTCCGCAGGAGGCACCGTGGGTGTTTCTGGGCTGTGCCCAGCGTGGGAACCATAGTGGTGCACATGCACCCTGCGTGTGCGTGGTGGCAGCATCCGTGCTCGGACCGCGCCATCTTTGGGGCCCACATGGGATTCCTGCCACGTCATCCTCACCCAAGGTCGGTGCGGCCCCTGGTTGCTGATGAAGAAACCAAGACCCTGAAGGTTAAGAACTGCCCATCGTGATGGCACCAGGGCTTGGCTGTGGCAGCTGCGGGCAACCGGCTTTATGTGAGGTTCCTGTGGCCGCCACAACAAAGGACCATGAATGGGTGGCCTAACCTGGCAGAACCAGATTCACTGGCAGGGCTGGTGCCAGAAGTCAGAATCAAGGTGGGGTCAGGGCTGGCTCCTCCCGGGCTTCGGCTCTGCCTGCAACTGCACGTGGCCTTTCCCTCTGTGTCCCTGCCTCAAGTCTCCTCTCCTTTCTGTCCTGAGGACACCAGTCATTGGATTTGGGGCCCTTAGATCCAGGATGATCTCATCTCAAATCCTTAATTACAGCTGCAAACACCCTATTTCCAAAAAAGTTCCCATTCACAGGTGTCGGGTGCTGTTCAACCCATGACAAGCCTCCAGTCCTGGGCCTGTGTTTTTAGTCAAGGGGCATGTTTCATTGTCTCCTTAACAACACTGATGTCTGCTCTAGGAACTAGTTATATGGGAAAGGTACCCTCAGAGCAGATTGGGTTCCGTGGACCTGGTGAGGGCCCTGCAGGCCAGGGGACAGGGACAGGACTGAGACAGGCCCCCCGTGTCCAGAGGCTCTGGCCGGGCTCCCCACAAGGTCAGCAGGCTCCTCCTCTCTCCACAGGTACTGGGTTTCCTCTTCTTTGCCACAGCCTACTTCCTATATAAGCCTCTTTCGGGGTCTTCAGATGGCCTGGAAGCTTCTCTGCCCAGCCAATCCTCGGCCTCTGACAATGCCACAGATATCCAGCTCCAGAGCAGCATCTGACCCCACGGCCACAGCCACGGCAGCCACTCAGCATTTCCTGAGGATGGAACAGTGCCCTTGGGTGACACAGTCACATGGAAACTTCAGTTTGACCTGTGGCTGAAACTGCTGTGACCTTCCGTCCTGGAGCTTTTCAACCCTGCTGTGGGGGGGAGCACCTTGCATAAATTTATATTTATGGACACATTTTGCATCAGAACATATTTATCGAATGTGTTTTATACCTGATTGTGTGTGGTGTGCGTGAGGGCAAGCTCCACAGGGAGGATGTGGGCCTGCAGCCCAAGGAAGGCTCGTATGTCCTCAGTTAAAACTGTGCATCTGTAAATATATTTTGTTACTTAAGCCTGCGTCCCCGGACTGTGTGCTTTATTTCTATGAGTTTGCAGAATTTGCTGGTCTCGCTGTCCTTGGCCTGGTGTTTGGGACTCTGTGCTCCAGCAGAGGGAGGCTCCCGCCTTTAGTCCAGCCTCAGGCGCCAAGCTTGGCTGCCTGCCTCAGGCATGTCTGTGAATGACCTGGGCTCTCTTTGCACATTGGAACTGAGGATGGAGGTGGCCGGCCACTGCTGTTAACACAAAATGTGTGTATGGGTGCATGTGGTATGCATGTATGCATGCATGTAGGTGCCTTTGTGTGTGCGTGTGCACATGGGTGTATGGGAGTCAGCGCAGGCTCTCTTGTTTGCAAGGCCCTTGGACAGCCGTGCCTCATCCCAGGAGGGTGGTGAGTTGCAGGTGGCAGCCCGTGTGGTCGCAAGGCCTGTGGAGTGGCTCTGGGGGCCGCTGGCGCCATGGACCCCACTGAGAGAGCCCCATGGGAATGAGGGGAGACATAGGCCCCAACCCAGGCCACAGTGTCCCCAGGGTGACGGTCTGAGGTCAGGAGGAGGCTAGGAGGTTTGGGAACCAAGGAAAAGGCTGTTGGAGCTGCCCCGTGGGATGGAGGGCCTCGGGATGGGAGCGGTGAAAACAGTAGGCAGGAGACCCAGGTACCAGGAAGACCATGACCCCGCGCATCCTGCAAGATCAGGGGAGTCTGTTACCTTTCCCTGAACGTCCACATCTGACCAAGTGGTGACCAGGCTGGGCAGGACTGACGTCAGAAGTTTGGGGCTTTGCTCTTGAGGGAAGCTCCTCGACACCCCCTCCTGACCTAAGTGTTGGCCCCTGGGCAACGGCTGAGCCTTGAGTGACCCAGGTCAGGTCTCTAGAAGCGCTGGGAACAACAGGACGGGTGAGGGACAGGTGACCAGGGCTGAGTGGCCAGGGTGTGCACAAGACAAAGAGGTGCCCCCAGGAGGCCTGTGGGGGGTTCCAGCGGCACCCAGGCCACATGCCCCTCCCCAGTGGCAGCATCTTGTGTGATCACAGTGAGGGCTGCACCGTGAGCTGTGTGGGCAGGTGTGTGGTGCTCTGCCATTTGCCACGCGTGTGGGGGACTGGGCTGCAGAGCTGCTCTGTGGTCACGGACAGCTCCCCGGACCCACCCCTTATGCCACCTCCACCACCCTTCCGGCCATCCCTGCCCCTGTGCCCACTGAGCCAGTCCCTGTCTCTGCAAAGTAGCTGTCTCAAGAATGCTGCTGCATGGAGTCATCCTGTGTGGGACCTTTTGGGACTGGAGTGTTCACTCAGCACAGTGCCAAGACCCACCCCAGCGGCTGCGGCATGGATGGAGATTACCACGCGCCTGCCCTTGGATTATTTCTGTTGTGAGGACCCCATCCCACTCCAGGGCCTCCCCTTTAGGGCTTCTGGCCCCACAGGGTCGTGGGTGTCCCTTATGCTGTGCTGAGACACAGGATCCGAGGAGTAAGGAGACAGGACACTGTCTGGAGAAGAACTGGAGAAGAGCAGCTGGACTCGGGGACCACGCCACCTATGAGCAGAGACAGGCGAGACCCGAAATGCTCAGAAGCCTCTGTATTTATTGGGTACAAGGCAGAAGAAAGGGTCATGAGTAAGGTCATCTATAGGCTTAGTAATAGGGCATACATAATCATGCGAGTAGCAGGCGAGGGGGCCACCCATTAGGTCACCTGGGCAGAGAGGTGAGCCGTGTGCAGTAGTAGAGGGCCGTGTACAGAAAAGGGGTCCACCCCCATTAGGTCACCGAGACAAGGAGGTGGCTGTGTGCAGCAGGTGTCGTGCACAACACTTATCTGGGGGCTAGAGACTTCAAAGGGTTTCTAATAGAAGGATACTGTAAGCCAATGCAGTGGGAGCTGACAGACGTGTGCTCTTCTCTTTAGATATTTATGGGAGGATGATTTGAGCTAGCACAGAATCGAGAAAAGACTGACAGGGTGTACGTTGCTGTGACTGGTCACACCAGAGGGGTCCTTCTCCCTCCATTACTTCCAGGATCTCAGGCCTGAGACCTACTTTCCACAGGAACTGGATGCAAGGTACTACAACTCCTTTATCAGGAGGAAAGGCTCTTGCTCCAAGCCTGCCAAACAGGGTTTGCCCTTTCAGGAAGGGACGCCACTGCCTGGGTCTTTGGTTCCTGTCCTGGTCTGGCTGTTTCCCATGTACTGCTTCTGTTCTGTGACTGCTCTAGGCATTCCTCCTACTACAAACTACTATATGGTTATATGGAAGGATTCTATAAATCAGCACTAAATGTGTCAGTACAGCTCTGCCTACAATACCTATATGATTATATAGAAAGATTATATGGGACTAAGTGTGCTAGATATAAGTACTAAGTATGATGATATAAGCTAGATATATGTAAGCAAAGTTATTCTTCAGGCACTAATTGTGCCTGGGGTCTGCACAGCTCTCCTTCCTCGGTGCCCATGTGTGGGGTTACCCACATTCCCCTGCCCTAGGTCACCTGGTTGACCTCATCTCACAGAAAGGAAGTGGAGGCCCAGAGGCATGAGGGTGCCTCCCACATCCCCTGGCCCCGCCTCCCTCATCCCTGAGGCCTGCCTCCCTCATCCCCCCCAGCCCCGCCTTCCTCATCCCTAGGCCCTGCCTCCCTCATCCCCAGACCCCGCCTCTCTCATTCCCCAGCCCCTCCTCCCTCATTCCCCAGGCCCGCCTCCCTCATTGCCCAGCCCCGCCTCCCTCATCCCCAGGCCCCGCCTCCCTCATCCCCAGGCCCCGCCTCCCTCATTGCCCAGCCCCGCCTCCCTCATTCCCAGGCCTCACCTCCCTTATTCCCCAGCCCAGCCTCCCTCATGTCCCCTGCCTCTCTCATCCCCGGGCCATCCACTTGGACTCTGCAGCTGGCCCTGGGCATCCTCCAAGGATTGATTGGCTCCAGGAGCCCTCCCCAACCCAAGTCCTGTAGTCAGCCCTGTGGAATCTATAGATGTGAAAAGCCAGCCCTTCTTATCCTCAGGCTCCTGACCCAAGGATGAAAAATTCAACCCACCCTGGATGGAAAATGCAGTTTTTGCGGAGACGGAACCGGAGGATAAGGAGGGCAGATATACATACATGACTGAAAATATACCTACATGAGTGTACCTACGTTCTTGTGAAATAGAACCATGTTGCATGAAATCGCTCATCCTCCTGCATCACATTTCCCTCGTTATTCATAAACAGCTGGGATCAACGGCCTGGCATCCCCCAGAGCCATGTGTTGAAGCCCCGGCCCCAGTGGCTGTGTTTAGGGGCAGGGCCTTTAGGAGATGGTTATGCACAGGGTCGTAAGGATGGGGGCAGACGCCCCAGGACTAGTGTCCTTAAAAGGAGAGATCCCTGCCATCCCTCGCTATGGCCGAACGCTTCCCGATCACTGAGCCCTGCAGCCCCAGGGCCTCTCTGAAAACTGACCTAGTTTCAGCCGGGACAGATCAGAACCCACAGGTGGTCCCAGCACTGAGGACAGACACCACCGTCGCCCTCCAGGGCTCACAGCCTGCAGCGCTTGCCAGGAGTTCTCAAAACCCAATAATACTTCAGTCAAGAGCCCCCCAAATTAGGGCACAATCTGGTGCTGGTGACATTTTGATCTGCCAAGTAAGGAGATAAAACACAGCTAGCCAGCCATAAGGAGAGGGGACCTGGGCTCACCGGATGCTTGTGCAGAGCTCACTGCTGTGACTGCTGGGCCAGGGAGGGGCATCGGGGGCAGAAGGCACCAGCCATCTCCTCCTAGAGTCCCAGGATACTGTTTCAGTGGACGCCTGTCCTCATGCCCTCTGCTCAGAGCTACGTCCCACTGCGTGGGAGGGAGGCAGGAACCAGCCCTACTCCCAGCTGAAGGAGGCATTCTGGTGCCAGATGAGTGTTGGGGCACAGCTGGCTGCACCTGTCAGAAACACATGGCACTGAGCGTCCGTGTGGAGGTGTCCCCAGGGCCCTCGGGGAGATTCGTGGAAGCCATCAGCCTGCAGGGTGAGCTGAGCTTGGTCAGGGGAATCATTTGGGAAGACTAGGTAGATCCAGCTGGAACCCAGGGACCCCAGGACGGATCGGGTGGAAAAGGCCATGTCCTCACGTTAGGAAAAGGGAGAAGAGCCCGGGGCACTGGGTGGAGAAGGGATGGGAGGGAGACAGCACCCATGGCCTGGCCACCAAGGGTGGTGCATTCTCAACTGCCAGTGGTCAGGATGGTCTCTGACTCACAGATGACAATTCCACGGGTCTGAGTGGCCCTGTGTGGTCCCCGACGTCTCACAGTGACAGATGGGCAGAGGCAGGGGCTGGACTGCCAGCGTCTGCCAGTTCTTAGGTCGAAGCCCAGCCCCAAGTGTGATGGTGTTAGGAGCTGGGACCTTCAGGGGGTAACTGGGTCAAGATGAGGGGCTGAGGGTGGCTCCACGATGGATTCAGCCCTGTACGAAGAGGAAGAGACCGGGCTCCTCTTCCTCTGCCTGC